AGCATGCTGTTCTATGTTGGAAAACCAGTTTCTTATATCTGTTTAATAATAAAATTAAATTATGAATAAATAGAACAGACATAAATGATGTAATCCTCTTTATTACCAATGAAAAAATGGTTAAAAGATACCTACTATTAAAAGACCGTTCATCGGTGACATCATACACTAAAAGTATACCCATAGCACCACGATAGTAAGCTTTTGAAGACATATAAAATAGAATAGTATAAATAACAAATCTATGGACGTCAAATGAACGATAATTCGAATAAATATATATATATTGTTTTTTTTACCAGTAGTGATAGTACGGAAACGCTCTTGACCTGCAGTATCCCAAATCTGGAGTTTGATTCGTTTTCCGTCCAATTCGATCGTTCGGATTTTAAAGTCGATTCCAATAGTAGTGATAAAAGAAGGAGTAAACGAGTCATCAGAAAAACGAAGTAACAGACAACTTTTACCAACGCCTATAAAGAATAACGAGAGTTTTCAGAGGAGCGATAAAAAACGGAAGAAGAATAATATAAACGAAGAAGTAAAAAGCTCGATAGAGTTGCGTTCACGGAAGATGGAAAAGCGGAAACTAGTTCTTCGGTTGATAAAGTCAAATATAGTACAACCCCTTTGTAAATTTGTTGCAGCTTACTAACCTGAGTCACCAATTAACAAAAGTTTTATGAGATAATCATAGGCGGCGCTCTTACTTTGAGCCATTGTTTCGCGAGTTTCAAATGAAAAATAGAATGGTGTATGGTAAAGATTAATTCAGTTCGCCACAATGATAGAAAACGCAACCTGACAAAGTTAATCTGGAAAACAAATCTAAACTTACTAGTGGTTGTTGTAACTAGATTATCCTAAAAATATTATTCTTAAGAATATCTTCTATTAAAGCCATTATTATCTTTTCAAAATTTGCAAGGTGTGATAAGTTATTTTGTTTGTCTTATTATTATTAACATGATTCACTATTAGTGATGAATTTTAATTGTATTTTTTGTTGTGATATTGGACTGTGAAAATCATTTATGTAAACATGATGTTGCAGAGATACATTATTAGCTTTTTTTTTTTTCTTTTTGACTTATCTAAGACGCAAATTATCAGTTTTACCCATCGTTTCGTTCGATGTCACACACTCTTTTACCTTTAATCCTTTATCAATTGGTGTTTTTTTTTTCTATTACCAATCAATCTATATTTTGTTTAATCCTTTTAATAATAATGGATTAATATATTCAGTTTCTCTATTCAAGTCGTAATATGTGATTTTTTATTTATCTTAATAGATGATTTTGAAAATTACAATTTCTTAATGTTGGTGTTAAATGCTTTTTTTCAAAGTTCCTTCTTTTCGCTATTAATTGTACCATTTTATTTTTTTCCTCAGCGGATAATTCAGAGTAACGTTACTTATACGTATGCATTAACTTCAATATATGTATATTATTATCCGGAGAGGAGCGGAGGACTTATATTTTCAGGTATATAACTAGCAATTTTTGTCCGTCTGCCGCCCACGTGATCATAAATGATCTGTACATACCTGCAGATTGGACATAGCTGCCGCACCAATTTTGTCACGGATGATTATCGATTTTGATTGGCTAACGGCCGTGATCTACAATATTTTGGCCCGCATTACATAATTGTTTACATAATTTTTGGCC